ACAACGTTGATCATTGACTTTATCTGATTTATTGGTTCTAAAAAGAATCGGGGTGACTATGAAAAGACCCGTTTGTTTGAAAGCTCGGCTGAGCTCAGCTACTCGTCGCCTTCGGCTTCGCTGTCTGTCTCGAACTCGTTGTCAGCCGCTCTTCTATGTCTTCTGCTTCTTCTTCCTCGTCATCCCAAACTGCATCATCTTCAGTTCCATCGAGAGCATTGCTGATGCCACAGGACACGAACGATCTCGTTATCAACTCAACTGGGATCTCTCTCCATGCTCGATCGATCCACCGCAACACCATCTCTTTACTGGGCGCTCGCTTCTTTCCAGAAGGCGTGTAGGTAAATGGGCCGTTAACCATCCAGGCTTCGTACTGCGCACGGACCTTTGCTTTGAATGGCTTACTGATGCACTTATCCAGGGGCTGAAGAACTGGAGTGAGCCCACCGGGAATTACGGCGGTATATTGACCATGACTCTCCTTGTAACACATGAAGGGTTAAAGAAGCCAACCACATTAGATTTAATCCTAATAACATCAATGGAGATAACTGAATTGAAATTCTTTACGTGTGGATGCCTTACTATCAAAAAGCATGATAGCCGATAACAAACTGAACCTATTAAGGGAACAACTTCCAGTTCTCAGAATAACAATAAGGATCAAAATGCACCAATGACATCGCACCAAAACACTAACAATAACAAGGTGTTACAAATAGCCTCACATCAACTTTCAACTTCCTTACCTGACGAGGTATAGCAGTTGCAACATCACAATCAATACACAGTTGATTAGCTTGACTCTTACATCTTGGGACAAATGATTAAATTTCAATTCTCAATAAAAACAAAACTTTCTATAACTTTCCATAGCATAGGTAATGGTAAAACAGGGAGGATAAAAATGATTTAAGTAGAAAATTGTATTTGGTATTTTAGTCAGTGGGTCAGTGTCTTTAATAGGTGTATTTAGTGGTGCAAGAAAATTGATGATTTTAAATTATATGGATAATAGTGTTTTTGTTGTTTTTTTTTTTATTAACTGTCAAAGGGACACTCTTGTTTGACCTTGATTAGTAAATGATGGGTGGCTATGGTTTGGGCTCTTACCCAGGCTATAGTTATGAGGGAAAATATTTTGATAAATACAATGTATGCGAGAAATATGACCTTTCACAAACCTTTTTAGGGAGGCTTCCTCTTGCACAACTAAATTACAGAGATGCCAACTCAAATCTGGAGATTTTTTTTTCAGACTAGCACCCCCTCCTGGCCCCTCCGGGTAATTTCATTTGATTTGGACCCCTACAAGCAATTTTGCGGGAAAAACGTGGATCTATCTGTCAGGGTCTTTAATTGGTTGAATACTCATCCAATCAGACTCTCGCTCATATAATGGAAGGGGACAGGGGAGCGGGAGCCCGGGAGAAGAAGGGGGTACCCAATGAACAAAAAAATGAACTAGAAAATGAACAAGAATGTTAAGTTTTGGCACAGTTTGAAAGTTACACCCGGGTGTCTGATCCTCTTGATTAACCTGAACACTGGGGCGATACTATGAAGAGTGGGAGTCGGGAGGTAAAGGGGCACAAAAGTACAGGAGGCGAGAGAACGTGGTACGGGAAGCGGGAGACTCTGGCCCCCCTGTCTCCTCTTACCCCCCCCCCTCCCCTTTCTAGGAGTAACAAAGAAGAAACTTTCTTCTTTTTATTCGCAACGAATGACGTGCATCGCGCAAGAAAGTGAAGCCAGAAACCGTAATACAAGCATAAGAAGCCAGATAATTTTTTAGAATTTTGGAACATATGGAGCTTAAATCTTAGTTTTTTTGAGCTGGCTGGGGACAAGGAATGAATTTAATAGAATAGATACACTTATTAAATGTGCATCAAATTTATTTTATTTCAAAACTTCACATCTCGTCCACTTTGCATACCTGGCACTATGGATAATACCTACTCGTCTAACTCTGAAAGTATTAGGTTTGAGCCCTGGCAACATCAACTTTTTATTTGGTTTTTTTTTTCTTTTTTTTTTTTTTAAATTTCAATTTAAATTATTTTTCATAGGATTTGCTGAATTTGTTCAGAGTAAGTGCACATGTGCGAATGTGTGAATAGTCGACCGATAGTCGACCGAAAGTTGACCAATAGTCGACCGATATATCGGCCTATATATCGACCGACTGTCGGCCGATGCATCAGCCGATATGTGCAGATTTATCGGTCGACTGTCGGCCGATATATCGGTCCACTGTTGGCCAATCTATCGGTCGATAGTCGGCCGATATATCGGCCGATGTATCGGCCGATATGTCGACCGAGGCCACCTATAGTACACATGATCCACTTAATTCATGCCACTCAGGCGAATGGTGATTTCCGCGCGCCGATCAGCTAATTCGGATATAGTTAGCAAGTATTAGTATTTATTGCAGCGCCGGCAGCGCCCATGGGCAATATGAAGCGAATCCTGTGTTCTGACAGTGCTTAGATCCCGCGCAGGAAAAACATTAAATTCGTGATTTTTTTGACGAATTCGGGGATCAAGTCGCAAAAAGCGGCTGAAGATAGTCAAATCAAAGTAATCATAAACGACTCTGGTGGGTTTATGTGCTACAGTGAATTTCTCTTAGACTTACACTTTTGTTTCCTGATCATAACTGAATTTGTAATTCTATGAGTACAAACCTTTTTGGTTTGCTAACTTTCAGGCACCAAGATTACAAAATTGTCTTTAGTTGTGATTTTCGTTTATTGATTAGTTTAGAATTTGTGTTCTTGTTGCTTCTGTTAATTAGTCTCACACTGAGTGCTTCTTTTGTTTCATAAGCTTTTCTTTTGAATTTTGTTTATTTTGGCTTGTTTAGTTATATTTTCGTTAGTTCACATTACTTCTGCGTCTGTTTGAGTCGAGTGTAGAAGCAGCGCGTTTCAGTCACAATCGTCTTTTACCGCTTTGCTTCGCGTCGTTTATTATTTTTTTAATCAGAAGACATGTGACTACAATCCTTATACCGACAAGATGGACGCGAAATGAAAAGACTGAGCACTAAAAATGAAGGATAACAGCTAACAACTTTCAAACGTGTTATTTAATAATAACTTAAATCATGACATATTGAAAACATATTTACAGTTTCTAGAAACTATTTTACAAGAGCCTCAATGTTATCAACATAAGATACACGAGTGAATTTCGACTGAGAGTTCTGAAACTAAAACCAAAGTAATCAAAGGGCAGAAATATTCCAAGGAACCAATCAGATCTCAAAGTAAAAGTACACAAAAAAAATTCACTCAGGCAAGGGGAACACCTATGAACAAGTCGCAGTTGGTTTGACTCTAGCACTTGATTGGTTGACAAAGCTTCAGAATTCTTCTTGATGAATAAGGAACAAATAAAAGCAAAACTAATGCAATCCTAAGTTACCTTCCAACCTTGATTAAAATTTACTCTATTGGAGCAACTTTCACTTGAGTGTCAAAAGTAATCATGAATTGCATTGGTCTTTGCTTTTATTCGCTCTGTGATTGGTCCAGAAAACTCGCGCCACTCTCTCAACCAATCAGATGCAAACTAAAACCAGTCACGTGAATAAAGGGGGTAAGTTTCTAGAGAAACTGTTGTGCTGCGTCAGTGGTGGGAGAGTATAACAGGGTAATTAAGTATTATCAACTGAGTTGATGACATAAATTGGCCACCGTAAAGAGTTTTAAAGTTGACATTTCAAAAGTTAGCCCTTCCTCGCTCGAAATGTCAACTTTAAAACTCTTTATGGTAGCCAATTTATGCTATCAACTCAGTTGATAATACTTAATTACCCTGCTAAAACCAATCACGACTTGGACCCCCACATTTTTTCTCCCTTAAAGGCAGTTTGGCTGATTTTACTTTGAGTTCTCCTTAGGTCTTGAAGTTATTTTCCTATCCTTTTGATTGGCTTTTGTGATCACTCTGAAATATTGTGACTCTCAATTGAAAAGCAGAGGATAGCACACAGAGTTCACCTAAGGTCTCACCCACATGAATTTATGAGTAGAGAGGTTGACAAGGAGGCAGGTGTGTATAACAACAACAATTTTCCTTGATCTCTCTCCAATGAACCCAAAACCTTTCATTAATACTTGAAAGGTGGAGTTTGGACTTCTTGGAGAGAAAAGGCATCTTTTCATCAAATCAGATTGGAAATGGCAAATTTGGGGCATACAGTGGTAATCAATTAATATTGTTAGAGTAGAAGTTTGAAACACTTTTAACTTCTTCACCACAAAGATCTGATTTCTTCACTTATTTGTAGAGTAACCTTGAAAATTTAGCGCTGTTTTCAAAAGGTGTAAGGAGTCACAAAGTTTATAAATTAAGAAATTTCAGAGACCTTAGATGAAAACTGACTGCAAAAAAAACATAACAAAAAAAAAAGGATTTTGAGGAACTTTTCCTGCTTAATCCATCTATTACCCTTAGCATCTGTCAGTTCATGAAGTTTTCAACTAAAGAAAGTACCAAAGTTGTTTTAAGTTGCCAAATGACCTTGCTCAATGGAAAATAGATAATGACCAGTCACCAAAAAAAGAAAAGCAAAAACTCTATTTTGTACACAAGATGAAAAAATCTTGGTTCCTCAGACAATAAACAGCTTCATGTGTTCATTATACTTAGTTCTTCCTGATCTCGTTTGTCAGTCCAGTTGCTGATAACCTTTGCAAGGAAGTTGTGAAATTCTTCTCTGACTGTTTCTGGTTCTTCATCCAGATTTGTCTGTATACAGGTTACTCTAGAGAGTACAGATGCTATGCAAAGGAAAAAAATTGTTCCATAAATGAGTATAAATAAATCAATGATGCAGTTTAATCTGTGATGTTGTGCATCAACTCTAGAAAATAATGCCAGGTTTTCTAGTTGGGGCTATGCTAAAGTAATACAATCAAAGCAACTGGTATTTCATATCACTTGCACTTATTCACAACAGTACTATAAAGTTAATCAAAGCTATAACAAAATTCTCAAATGTGATTAGTTATCACCAGCCTGAGTTCAGCACTAATAGGACAGTGTACGTCTCATACTTGTAATTGGGCAGTGTAATAGGACTGAGTTGACATGTCACACCTGTGTACATGGACAGTATGCATCATGCGCATGCTGTTGTCACGCATTTCACTGAGTTATCTGTTGTTGTTGTTTTTTTAAATGAAAATATAATACAACCAATGTATAATTTCTTTTTGAAATTTTGCCATAGTTTCAATTAATTGGTAACATGAATTCATGCCATCCATTGTGATTAACTAATCGAACTCCCAATTCACAGTCATCCAATTTTTTTAGTCACTTGACTGTAAGATTACACACCAAATTGGACTCCAATCAGTCCTATTTGCATTACTTATCATGATCACTGTGTGACACTGCCAGGTGTATTTCTACTCACAACTCCAGGAGTTTATTCCAATTTGGCATGAAGCAACAAGGTGTATAAGGGATAATAGTCATACCAAGTTACCTGGCTTATAGGGGACAAGTTACTTTAGAAACTGTGCAGCTGTGTTGGCAAGGGAAATAACAAGATAATTTGGTTTAATCAAATCAACTAAATTGATGACGCAATTTGGCCACTATTAAGAGTTTTAAAGCTCTTGTTTTGAGCATTAATCTTTTATCATAGCAAGTGGCTTACAGTTTAACAAGTTTCCCAAACAAGTTGTTGCTATCTTTTCCTTGATAAACACAGGAGTGAAAATTGTGACACCAAATTGATAACAATTTGGTTTTATCAACTGAGTTGATAATGTGAATGTCTCCATAAAGAGTTACTAAAGCTGCAGACGATTTTAGCATTACCAGTAGCCCTTCGTCAGAGCTCTAAGGAAGGGCTAACATTTGAAATGTGAGCTTCAGAATTTCCTTACAGAGGCCAACTCACACTAACAACTCAGTTGGAAAAAAATTATGCTGTACCCTTGCATCACAATTTCTTAAGAAACTTACCCACTATATTCATCATGTTTTGTGACAAAGATTTATTTTGGTGATGTTACCCACAAAGCCTCAAGGACCTTGGCCAGGCTGAGTCAAAAGCCAACCTCTTTTTGAGACTATCAATATCTAAATAAATAAAATGCTATCTTACGTATTTGTGATCTTGTTGTATCAGCAGCAGATGGTCGGCGATGAGCAAACACTATACACTGTGAATCCTTGAGTCCTTGACTTTGCACAAATTGTGTGTACCTTAAAAACAAGGTTTCCATAATTATTTGCAAATTCTAACTTCTTGTTTATTCTCCTCAGCTTTATAGTTCAAACAAAGCTAAAAGTGCATGAAGAAACCCAGCTATGGGTGGAGAGATGCTCTATGAAGTATTATGTCCAAGAATGCAACAAAATTAACCTAACCTGGGCTCAAACCAGCAAAAGCCAGTCTGGATTCTTGCATACAAATTATAAGATTATTGCATTTCCTATACAAGGTCTTTTAAACCTTTAACTCCCAAGAACTGATTTTTAATTGTCCCCTCTAGTTGCTACATATTTCCATATAAACCAGTTGCAATAATTTGATGTTAAATCAGGATAATTTACTAACGATTTCTACCCTATTAGATTGAGTATTCTCATTACCTGTTGTTTGATAATGTATGGATATTATTTCCTTATTCTTGTGACCTTCATGTGCAATTCAGGTGTGATATTGTGAGGAGAAATTAGATGCTAATCACTCTTAGGGATTAACAGGTTATGCTCAAAACAAACAAGAGGGAACATAGCATCCATATATCTATGCTCTAAGTTCTACCTTACCAAGTCTCTAGTTCCTTGTCATGGCTGGACTGATCAGGATTGTAAATGATTAGAACACCATTTGTGTCCTTTTGGAAAGCTGCCCAACAAGTAGAAAACCTTAAATAGGCAAAATGCTACATTTAACGTACGGCAAATTGGGTTGAAATATACCCACATCATACTGAGAGAACAACAAGAAAGAATTCCTAATTACACTCTTTGAAAAAAAAAAAAGAATTTTACCTCTCTCTGTCATTTTACATAGAAACTATACATGGTTTTAATAATAATACGATCACTCTCAATTTAGGAGCTACAGAAAGATAAAAAATTGTAGGCAATGATGGAATAGAATGCTACATTTCTTGCTACTGAACATCCAAAACACATGTTGGGGTAAGTTATAGCCAAATGGCCAATAGAACACTTTTCAACTGAGTGTCATACTAACAAAACCAAAGAGATCACAAAAGTCAATTAGATGATGAAAGAATACCACAAGGAGCCACTTAGAACTCAAAGTAAAAGAATCTAAACAGTGTCAAGTGCAGGAAAACTCAAGTAAATAGGACATGATAGCAGAGCTTGCAGAGCATAGCCCCATAATTATGCAAAATAGTAGTAACCCATCAAGCTGAAAAAATTTGGATGTACGACCGTACAACCATACAAGGTGCTACTTTTAACATGCGTGGTTAACTGTACCACGGGCACGCCAAGGCCACGGCTTTGTTCAGTAGTCCAGTGGTCAGTGCACTAGGCTCCGAGTCGGACGACCCAGGTTCTAGTCCTGGCAAGGGCAAGGCATCGTGCCCTTGAGATGTGTGGGGGAAAAAAATGCAAGCTCTGCTTTAAGCCTTGGCCAAATCTATATATTAGATCTTAGTTTTATCTCATCGGTTGAGAAAGTGGCACAAATTTCCTGGACCAGTCAAAGAGCATGGTAAAGCAAAACCATAGCAATCTCCGACTTTTTTTGACACTCAATCAAAAACTAGTCTAACTACCATTACCAATCCCCTGTTTCTATAGGATGATGCCACAAAGAACATGTCTAATCCACTTGGTTCCCATGCCAGGACAACAGAGAACACTGCTTATCATCATACCAAATGTTACATATAGAAATTGCTAACAAACACTATTAGAAATTCTCTTGGGCAAAATCAGGGTGCTTTTGCCCACCTTTGGGTCATGCGACTTAATGTGTGCTTTTTAAATTACACATGCAAAAAAAAACCTACTATAGTGAATGTTAAAATATCAGGGCTTACTTGTGATTTCCGCTGCAATCCCACAACTCTACCTCACAATTAGCAGTTTTACCAGGAGATATTTCGATGCCATTGCTTTCAAACTCTAGTATTCTGTCCATTCAAAAGAAAAATGTATTCTTCTTTGGATTTTATAACTTGAGAAACAGGGACCTATGTTTTGACAGGAGATATTTCTGTACCATTGCATACAAATTCTGGTATTCTGTCCATTCAAAGGAGAAACTGAGTGTTAATCAGATTGTTTTTAAACTTTTACGTACCAACATCCATTTTCTCTCTACTTACTGCCTTACTTTTCACGGTCAATTAAACAGGAGAAATAGGTCTTATTCCAAAATAACACCCTCCAAATGATAACCCTATCTATTATTATCACCTGTTTACATGATAGCTTAAACTTACAGAACGAAATTACGTATTAATCACCTCTAAGATTAAAGGGGCCGAAAATTGAGAAACGTGGATCTATGTTTACGGTTTCCATGAAGACATAAAAACATGCATGAATTCAAGATACCCACGACTTGGAAAATGTTTTGTGATCGACATTTACCTGACCCCTTGTGTTGGATGATACTCTCCTCCTGATGTTTCCGTAGCATCAGAAAGAAAATTCGCAATAACGCTTTTACCACTCTGCAAAATGACATGAAAATGAAATATTTAGCACGAGCGACAACAATACAGCTGTCGTTAAACTGAACTTTAATATAGAGCCATTTCCTCCGTTCGAACGTATACCAAACAGCCAATAAAAATGTGCAATGTCAAAACTCCGTAGAAGACAAAAAGCTTTTAAATCAAAGAAACTTACCTCGCAAGGTCCCAAAACTAGAATTTTTGCCCTAAACATTCCGAGATAAACAGTCTCCCTCTTGGTTCTTCGATCTACAAGGAGTGAATATGAGAGGATTGGGGAGAGTCAAGCTTACGTTAGGAACGCCTGGTAAATGTTGTATGATCGCTAAAACGAAAAAAAAATCTTACATCGCGTATCTTTTTGAGAAGTATCCCTTAACAGCTTAAAGGACGTTTATAAAGGCTTTGAATCTCAGCGTTTTCTTTTCGTTTTGCTACACATGAATTTTACCAAAATTCTCTTTAACTTTTAGGCGGTAAAATGATTCCCAAGAAACGTCCTCTTAACGGATTAAGGATGATATGAATTTCGCTTGATTCCTAACATAGTTACATATCCTTGCTCAGGGGGTTCAATAAGTTTTTCTTAGTTGATTTGATTTTAACAAAGCGAGTCACGAGGAAAAAATCTTTTCTTCAAGACTTTTCTCCGCCACTAAGCGACTCGTCCATTTTTTGACCACTGGGGGTTCACCACTGTGAGTCTACAGAAAATAATCCTTTTTTCCCTCATTAATAATAAATATCTAACAAATAAGTTTTTTTCGTTACAACGATCAATTTTTGGTGACCATACGATAACCGTTAGAACATGAGAAAAAACACTAAACACTGCTTCTTAGAGGCACCTGTCTAATAGAACACTAATTTAACATACGTGCATATGACAGAGACAAATCGATACATGGCTGTATAAAAAATCAAAGTTTGAGAGAGAATTTGCTCTCATTTTGTAAACAACTGATACAATGCATGGAAACCAGCGAAAATCATCTGCCTACGATGCTGCAGCTGCGAAAAAAAATTAAGTTTTAAGTAGGTACTCTGTAAGACAAAAAAGCTTCAACAACTCAATTATAGATAGGACAATAATTATTAAACGATTCTACAACCAATTATATGACGAGTGAATAATTTTCCCTTTTTGAGAAGTCTGTGCGATGAAGCAGGAGCTGAATCACAATACTGGGGCCCGTTTCTCGAAGGTCCCGGTAATTTATCGGGCCCTGAATGCCGTTCTGTTCAAACCTTTTCAAACTTTTCAAACCCCCATCATTCAAGATGGGGACTTGAAAAGTTTTGAAAATTATGAAATGAAAGTATCAGCTAAAGAGACAAAATGGACTTGTCAAGGACCCAGTACCTGCTTCTCTATTCTTTAAATTTTGATTCTAAAATAAAACTTCAGACCTGTTTATTTACCGGGACTTTCGAGAAATGGGCCACCAGGGTTTGAATCTGGAAATTTACATAACAACCCCTATTTGAAAAGTCTAGTTATGCTAATTCCTTTGTTTCCTTTAATTTTTATTTTTTGTATTTTCGTATTTTTTTCAAATTTTGCAATTTTTAGCTGTTTTGACTTTTTAAAGTTTTAAAATGTCTGGAAACCGGCGGCAACTTGTGCTTTTTCCGATGTAATTCCAATGAAAAAACAGATAGATATACATATAATCATTCCCAATTTCGATCTAAGTTTCGTTGATTAACCAGGGTTTTTTGTATCATAAAGGATACGGGAATACTTCGATTCACAAAACGCGGTAACCTTGCGAATTGAAATTAATGATTAAGATGCTGCGGACTTGCAAAGTGAACGGTTTGATTAGCTAGCAATATTTTATAAACAGAAAATACCAAATTGATTATGAGAAGGTGCGTCGAAACTGTATGCATAAGTGACTAATTTAAATTAAGCGACTAATTTAATTTCTTTCCACTAAAAAAATTAAAAATGTGTCATTTCGCTCGAACAGTTTTCACAGAATTCTCAGAAAGATCAGCTACTATTGAATTTGTTCATGTTTCTCTAGCTTTTCGATGCGCTGTTAGAGAGTACTGTATCATCTCTAAACAGAAAAGCTTTTCATAAATACCTTTGTTCTCGATTAAGCGCTTGACAAATCTAAATCAATTCTTAGCCTGGTTTTAAGAGAAGATTCCACAATTTCAAATTGTTTCAGTAATTGAAAACATTTTACCACTTGAATTTTACCATCTTAAGATACTTCAACCAGAAAAAACAACAATCTGCTTCCGACGAGTACCTGTTTTCTTTCGCCTTCGATTTGTTGGACGCCCAGCAGAGGACCTCGACAAAGTCGTGCCTGACATTTCCTTGTCACAAAAGTTATTGGAAGATTGAGCAGATCGATTACGATAATTCTGGATAAGATTGCTGATATCAGTGATCGATTTTTTTTAACGGGCCGGTGAAAAGCTAAAGCTTGATATGGGACCTGACAGGAAATTTTTAATAATGAATGAGCAAACGTCCGCAGCTTCTTACCCCATGCTTGCGAGACGACAAAAATACTCTGTGAAAATCAAATAAGTTCTGAGTGGCTACTTCAAATGGCCCGTTAGACTGACAGAAAAAAAGTTCAAGAAAGTTTACACTTGTGCAGTCGAGGGCGCAGACACTCGCGCCTGATTCTTCGTAAAACGCTCGGAGATTTCCCGATCTTAATTAACAAGTGACGAAAAATCGGAAGGACTCCACCTTCGGATACGACGTGAGTTGTGACGTCTGTCGCTTGGCAACAGGCAACTCAGTAATTTATGAAAGAAAACAATTCTGATTATTGTTCGCAGTAGAAATGGTGATTCTCCTTTGAAAACAAAAGGGAACTATGCAACTTCTATTCTCGCTTTCAAAACCTGATCATACGGTTCATACTTTGCAGGATATTGGTCTCAAACTACGTCAATTCATAGCCAGATAATTTTTCCCACTGCGTACAACTTAAATCATATCAAAAGCCGTTAAAATTCTCGAATCGCACTTTGAAGTTACGGATATAAAATAGGCCACAATTTAAGGCGCTGTTAGCATTGTGATTAAATGTTGAGCCGCTACCTTCACTAGCTTAATAAACTGATGAAACAAAAACGCCGCTGATAGAATATACGGGTTCTATCGCGTTTTTTTAAGTGAATTTATCTTCGCTGGCGACATGTCAGCGCGTTGTGATGTAATTAAAGCAATTTCAGTATTCAGTTGCGGGTGGATATAAAAAAAGGATATAACAGAAATATCTTAACAAAAAAAATTGAAGCTATTTCAAAATTTCTTGTAATATTTTTCCTATCTTTAACAAAGCCAGTGATATTCGAGTAATAGTGCGAGTCTCGTGTTAAAAAGAAAACTTCCATTTTAAAAAGGACTCAGACGCTTACCTCCTCCTGGGGTTCCGTTATACATCCCACTCAAACTCATCTTTAAGTTCGATGCGCGAGAAACAACAGATCACACAAAACAACGACCAAAGTGCGACAACTGCACTTAAATACGAACATGAAATTATATTGATACGGTAGAGGGGATATTCTGTGGTTGTTAAAAACCCGCAGGGTGAAAATGACATCTGCTATCGCTCTCAGAGAAGACTTCGTCAGGTATCTATATTTACTATTGGGAATTGTTGATAAGAACCCCTCACTGAAGACAGTGACAGCTGTCGCTAAGTCTACTAAGTCTCGGGGGCGGTATTAAGTATCAAAAATGAAAAATAAAAGTCGTAATAAGGCGATTCAACAAAGCAATCTAATTTCCTTGTGTTAATGATAAGTACCGAAAGTCCACACTGCTGTAAATTTACATTTTAAATGAGGTTTTTTTTTTAAATCGGCTCGAATACGCTATGCGACAAATTTCGAACCAGTCCCCTCGACGGTCATGTTTCCGGTTGTTAAAGCAATTGCTTAGAAACTGACCAATAGAATTTGACAATATTTAATTATCGGGAAATTTTTTTGAAAAGAGAGCTGTTTAAATAATTCGCTTGTAATTTATGTGGGACAAAAAGTTCTGATTTGAACTCTCAAAAGGTTTAGCCATCTTTCGTTTGATTTAAAAGGATGTTCCAGAATGAATATCGAGAAAGTTTATATCGAGCAGAAGCCCATTACTTATGGGCTCCTGTTTTGAGGTATTTCGAACGATATGTTTAAAAATACCACGAAAATCTCTAGAATTTTTGTCTTTGTTGCTCCTCTTTCGTTTCTACAGAAAGCTGTGTTGGAGACAAACGTGGGAAGAGGTCAAAGCATGAGAGACAGACAGGATGATTCTCCAAGGCCTGGGCGAGGGGTTGGGTACTAAAGGAGTCTGCATCGATACTTCGTCGCAAAACCCGGCTCGAACGGCGAAGTCCCCGAGCGTGCGTGCGATAGGAGCGTGAAAGATCTCGAAGACCTCTCGTGCGTTTGCTTCCCTAGTCGTCCGGATTTGAGACCCACGAGCTTCACGGGTAATTTTCAATGTTGGTAGTAAATACAGAAAGATGTTTTTCCGTCTTATCACGAGAGTAGGAAATAGAGAAAAAAATATATTATTCTAAAGAAGTCCATACTTAAATTGCGACTTGCGTTGTCATAGATGCCCAAGCTTGAAGCTTATTTATTCATTGCGCAGCCATAATGTCAAACTGACATCTTTTGAGTTTCCACCTGGGAAGGCTGCAGAATTGATTAACTTTTGATAATATCGTATCGGCTAGCCTCATTAAGTTTGAAAACTGAATCAATGTTCGTAAGCCTATGGAATAATTGTTTTGTTTCGAACACATTTATTCGTTGAAATTTTGACAATTACTTCATGCTTTGCCGGACTGACTCGTTTTCTTTCTAGTTTGATTACGCATGAAGAGGTTCTATATACATGGTGTTGTTAATTCGATAACATTTACATTGTTTTTTTTTCCTTTTCTTTCAAACGATTGTTTTCATTCACGAAAAAAAAACGTTGAGAAGCATATCTCATTTTAGATAACTGTAACGGAGTCTGCTTTGGATTTAACGACTTCAATGTAGCTCTGTTTATAACCAAATCTACAAAATGCAAATTTGTTGCAACAAAAAAAAAACCGGTCAAGAGCAATGAATTTTTCAAAGAGGGTGTTTTTAATTACCAAAGTCAGGTGGTTAATTCAAGTTCGTTGTTAAGAATTAAAACTCTCTGAAAAAGCACAGTTTATCCTGTGTCTGTTATTCAATTTCTTTCCATTTTAGATGCTGTGATTTTTATTTCTCAGATGGATCTGAAATCATTTAGCGTTTATCAATTACTGTTGAGGTGATGTCAAAATGAAGTCGTATGAACCTGTCTGGCAATAACATTATGGATCCTTCCTTAAGTTGGTCTTTAAATTTGATTTTTGGAATTTTTTGTTATTCAGAAAGTCAATCGTTGATTCTTTAGTTTCCCTCTTCTGCAGTCAATAGGTATCGAATTGAAACGACCAGTTCGACAATTTTACGAAAGTCCATGACAAAGAACATATTACTTACTTATATTGCTTGTATCTTTGTCTCCTTTAGCAGTTCGTCTGGAGCGCCTTTCTGGAGTCGGCGAACGGTTACTTGCAGCCGATCGATTGTGTTTTGGTTTCAGATCACGGGCACTGTTTTCGATGGGTTTTGTCGACATGACGAAAACAAAAATCTTACAGATCGAAACTAAGCACCATTTGTCATTGAATATTCAATAAGCGAGCTCTACAAAGACGGCTTTGACGTTTGCGTCTCAAGTTGGTAAATTTAATTTAATCAAACGTATTCAGCTTTGTTGTGATAGTCTTCCGCTACCGGCTGATGACTGGTGACATCCGTCCCTGTTTACAACAGTTTATCAGTTCTATTTGTCAGTGTCAAGCGTTTGTTTGAAAACCGTGTTGATATCACAAAACTTAGCCAATAGAATTTCTCCCTTTTCGTATCGAAATGATGTTTATTCTCTTATTTATACGAAAAATGACGATATATCGTCCTCGTCGGTTAAACAAAACGTTCAACTCTTTTCTATCCGAATGGGGAAAAACTGAATACAGCTTTGAAAATTAAAAATATCCCATACTAGCAAAACTCATCGATAAGATTAAAGCGGTCTGAAGATTGATTGATTTGCACAGGGATATAGAATATACTTCTCAAATAAAAACACAAAGGTAACTATAAAAGCAAACTAAACCTGCGTGAGATACGTAACAATCACAAGAAACGGGAGCCTAAGTTGCAGGGGGCACACAAATAAAGCAATGAAATGAAAAGGCAGCTAAAGTTGTGCGAGTTAAAACGTAACAATCAAAGAAAAGTCAGCTAAATTTGCGCGAGAGACAAGCGTAACAATCAAATGAAAGGACAGCTAAAGTTGCGCGAGATACAAGCGTAACAATCAAATGAAAGGACAGCTAAAGTTGCGCGAGATACAAGCGTAACAATCAAATGAAAGGACAGCTAAAGTTGCGCGAGAAAGTAAGGCAACTATCAAATGAAAGGAAAGCTAAAGTTTCCTGGGTATAATCATAACAATCAATTAGAAGGACAGCTGAATTTGTGCGAGATACAAGTCTAACAACCATATGAAAGAACAGTTAAAGTTGCGCGAGATACAAACGTAACAATAAAATAAAAGAACTGCCAAATTTGTGCAAGATACAAAAGTAACAAGCAAATGAAAGAACAGGATAAGTTGTGCGAGATACAAACGTAGCAAGCAAATGAAAGAACAGCTAAAGTTGTGCGAGACACAAACGTAACAAGAAGACGAAAGAACAGCTAAAGTTACGCGAGATATAAACGTAACAAGCAAACGAAAGAACAGCTAAAGTTACGCGAGATACAAACGTAACAAGCAAACGAAAGAACAGCTAAAGTTGCCCGACATACAAACGTAACAATCAAATGAAAGTACAGCTAAAGTTGCGCGAGATACAAACGTAACAAGCGAATGAAAGTACAGCTTAAGTTACGCGAGGCACAAACGTAACAAGTAAATGAAAGAACAGCTAAAGTTGCGCGGGTACAAACGTAACAAGTAAATGAAAGAACAGCTAAGGTTGTGCGAGATACAAACG